GAAATTCAGAAGTGTCATTTGATGATTTATTTGGAAGACAATGTGAACATTAATTATATCAAGAAATTGAATTTCATCATATTAAAAAGATAAAAAAGGCAATACTGTAATTCCCCTCAAGGGCTGTCAGAGACAGGAGCAGGAAGAGGGATCTGGCTGCATCTCCTCTGTCAGACACTCCTGGAGGCACAGTCCTACTGCAGCTGCATTGGTTTTGACCAGTTCCCTTTCCCTTTTTCTTCCAAGCAACCCTCAGGAACAAACACAGAACACTACATAGCACTTTTGCCTTTTTTTTTTTTTCCCCTTTGGCCAAGTTTGTGACTTAAAGCACTGGAAGAACACTTGCTGGCAGAAGATAACTGGAGCTGGCAGCCAGGAACAGAGAGGGCAAGAGCTAAGTGGCAGGGTCAATGTGGGGAAAAGAATAGGACAATAGCAAGGTGTTTCATGAGCTCACTGGCTCTTCTGAAACTGTACCTCTACAGCTCTGGGGTCTTAGGATTTAACAGTCACAGCACTGAGCTAATTCTGACTCTTGCTTCAGAGATGCACTTAAGATGCAAGCTACAGCGTTCTTCCTTCCAACTGAATAAAGTGGGGGGGTGAAAAAACACAGCCCACACATCTCCAGACAGACATTCCCTCAACTGCTTGTCTCAAACTCTTTCAGCCCTTCCTCCTGTGTCAGCATTTTCCATATTTTCTTTTGGTCCTTCTTCAGCGTTTGAACATCCCGAAGGAACGGAACGCAGGTGCAGTACTGAGTAAAGCAGGGTGATCGTTTTTTGGGAAGTCTACCCTGAATACACATTTCAGTCACATCATTCATCATGACAAGAGATGCACAGTATCTCTTGAAATATATAATACCTGAAGACAGCTTAAAGAAATGTTATCACATGTCAGATTTGCCACGTTATAACAACAGAAAGAAAACAGATTTTTTTCAGAAAATATCTAGAAATAAAATACCTTATCAATGATACTGTCAATTTTTCCTTCTTCAACAGACTTCTTTATTGTCTGTGCTGTTTCAGCAACGGATTCGGATATCTTTTTTGTAGCAGCAGTGGCAAAATTGAAGAGGTAACCTTTCACAGAGAAAAAAAGGAAAGACCTGAGAAAAGATCTCTTTACATCCAGTTCTTTTAATAGATTTATTTTTCCTTCTCTTTAGACATCTGGATACCTACTTAAAAGTTTCTTTCAAAATGACTTAACCCAGCTTCTGGCCTCCAATGAACTCCTAAAATTCTATTTATCCTTTTTTAGTATATATTCTTTAATGATGACGATCAAACTGTATGCTTGATCACAATATTCTGTAAATCCCACTTTTATATATGAACCTTGTTTACTAAATCAAACATTCCTCCTGGTCCTTGAAATATTGCTTTCCAATGAGTCTTCTGAAGCCATGGGTCTTTCCTGATTTCATATAAGCATGTCAGAGACATGAAGCAATAAATAAACTTCGCCACAGTATTAAAACATTATATATTATTATATATAGTAATAATTTTATAATACATAATTTAATATTAATAACTATATATACTTTTAAAAGAAAACCAACAGGCACATTAAAATCTCATAAAGTGAAGCAGAAAATCCATGAAAAATGTCATGCAAGTAACACTTGATATTCCTTCAATCCTAACATACAAGCCTGCTCTTGATGTTTGCCCTTATCTATTTTGCATTGCTTTCCTCTCTTTATCTCTATGAAAAGCACCATGGCCCTATTCACTTATTTTTCTGAATATATTAAGTGTCAGAACAACAGTGACAAATATTCTTAAAGACTCATATTTTTTATATTAGCTGAAGTGAAGAGAGGTGGCAGGGAAAACTATGTAGCGTGGGCGTCTGTACTGTATTACTGGTTTTTAATTAAGAAAAACAAACTTGCAAGCAGCAAGATATATATCATAAACCTTCAGAAAAAGAACAACCTTCCTACTCAAGACCTCTCAAAACGTCTAGTTTCCTTACGGGTTAGAAATGTAAGAAATAATCTTACTATGCAAAAAAAAAATAGCAAGTTCCTTCAACACACAGTTGTTAGTCACTGGTAGAATGAGTTACTTTGGAACACTGATGTCACCTTTTGGAAAGCTGACTGTTCTTTAGGGTGTAAAAATATTCTCTTTGCTATAATATCACCAAATCAGTGCTGAAATATGCAGAGGTCTAGCCAGCCTTTAAGCAAGCCAGGTTTATATGTAACTTCCATTTAAAGGCCGCAGAATGGTGGCAACCAACCATCTTTGAAGTACTTGCCAACATCTTTCATATCTGTTATCAGGCTTTACAACTCATCATGTGCTGCAAATACAAAAAAAAAAATGCTTAACTTCTATACTTTAGATATAAATACATACACTATTCCCCTTAAAAGAACAGAGGAAGCAGAAGTCTACTCTATTGCTCACTCCCTACCAGCTTTTATTGGTTGTTTCATGTATCCCTGGAAACTTTCTCATATGCAATTGTGTTAGGTGCAAAAGGTGCTCAGACATTTGCTTTCTGGTGACATTCTGGTATTGTTGGACAAAGTAGTTCTGGCCAGTCCTTGAACCGGGCTGAAGA